ATGATGACAAGTTCTGGGTAACAATAGAGAATGGGTGGGAAGTAAATAATATGATGTGATACTTATACCAGAGAGCATTGTACTAGCGTTAAATGTAGAAGTACTGATGATGACAAGGTAGAAACCGAAATGAACTACTCAGGTTTCTTTCCGCTCGTCAGTCAGCTGCACAACAGCCTCCAGCCTAGAAACTTTAGGACTTAGGTGTGGCTTCAGGGCGTTTGAAAGTATAGAGGTCTGACGCTAAGCCATGGACTCGTGTTCTATTGGCTGCTATTCTAAACTGAGAGCGGGCGTTATGCTTTGACGTGGAGAACGGGACTAGAGTCCTCATAAACACTGGACGTCCAGAGTCCAAATGACGCGATCCCGTTTCAAGCCTGGGGCGCACACGAGAGTAAGTGTACATTTGTTACTGGTACTCACTTGGTTCAGATGATGAGCTTTTGCGCAGGTCCAAGCTCTCAGACAAATAGAACGACAGTTTCAGAAATCGCATACTTCTGCACTCCTCATTTGAACATTTAATTCCAAGTCCGTGTCCGAATTCCAAGTCTTTTCTGCCCTGGATTTAGTTTACGAACAACTGGCGGCATTGCCGGTCTTAGGAAAGAGCATCCTGGTCTCGCCCGCCTCTGCCGGCAAATAGCACACTTGCTGAATACTAATCGCTACGCGACCGCTTAGACTGGCTCTGCCATGTATTTTTAGATTACAACAGAATGACCACACTGAGTGCTGAAATAAGTTCGCGTAGATTTTGTATAATCGTACCTGGTGACACTTCAGTTTTTCTTATTGGAGTCTGAGATAACTTGGTTGTCGAATCAATGGAGTCACTGGTCCTAGTCACTAGAATGTTATTAAAAGTATGACGAAAAATAGCATATTAGCAATATCGACTTTTTTCTTTGACTTTTTGAGGAGTCTCACTGCAAGCATACTCCCAATTAACTAATAACATTAAGGTACTGAAAATGCAGAAAGATAAAGATCGTGAATAAACTTCAGTCGCGGCACAGTGAATAGAGGACGAGAACATTCTCTGAAACTAACAAGAATACAGAAGAAGGGCTGCATTTTGAATTTCTATTTGGCTCCAAGGAGTTTCGACAGGGACTCTGAGCAACGAGGAAGAAATGAGAAAATCACGATGAGAGCTGATCCTGAGCGCAAGCGGACCAGAGGGATCAAAAACCAATTAAGACAAAAGAGCGGGAAATAGATTTGGCCAAAATTTCACCAATAGTTTACAGAAAGTATGTAACTAGATCCTGAATTATTCCACTATTTGATGGGCGTCATTGCGTCCTTTCACAAGAGCGCAGGATAAATAGGAAATGCAAACAGGAATACACGTACACCGAGTAGCCGGCTGTCCAAAACAAGCTATCTCCGAATAGGTGACAGAGAGTTTGAGTGGGCAACCACTTACCAGACCTGTCCCAGCCTAATGAAGTGGAATATGAACAGAAAAGTGGGGTGATTTAGGCAGCTTTGTTTCGGACTTATTTTGCGTTCATTCAGAATGCTGACCATTATCTGAAGCCAAAGGCACAAACAGGTGCAGGCACACAACACAGAGTTTATGACTAGAGTCCATCAGATGAGCCATAAGCAATTCAGCGAAACGATGTCCATCAGCATCTAGCCAACTGACACTCTCTAGCACCAAAGATCATGTATCTTACTTTTTAAAAAGTGGGCAGCCACCAATCCACTGACCTTCTGAACCAAGCGGGCTCCGATATACGGACACCCCAGAAGAGATAATCTGAAGAGCGTAAGCTTCGCCAAGTGAAAACTGTGCTTGCAAAAGCGAGATACAGAATATAGGCAAATTTAGCCAGTCATAAAAGCCGCTTTTAGACACGGTTTTCATCTCAAGTCGGTCTTGGTCAGTTAAAACGTGTCTGATTGTAGGTTTTCGTCGTATTCTTTTCCACTTGTCCCCTAAAATCGATTAATTTATGCAGATTACTATTCATCCTGATGTATGCTTTACCTAACTGCTTGGCTGCGGGGTCCTAGCAGTCTTTATACGAAGGAGAGCTTTCAGCAATACTAGACCGTTTTGAAGAAAATTTGCTGTCCTTCGTCCAGAACACAAAGGGTCTATTTTTTTAATCTCTAACGGCTCTTCATATTAGAAGTGGATTCAACCGTTTAATCGCATTAAAGTGCTTTGCAACCACTGCATGGTATATTGCTAACTATCATTTCTTTTTATTCAACTGCGTGTTCCCAATCCTAAGATTTACAAGTTGGGTATATAAATAAACTGCGGTGTGTAAGCTACTTACATCGTATACTCTCTCAGTTAAGTTTTAGGTAGTTATTATACACTTATCCTGCCTCCGAAAACGGGCTTGGGAATCCATAGTCAAAAATTGCGAACAAATCTTCCCTCCGTCCCTTGCGCTTGCAGTTCTTCATATACATATAACCTAGGGTTCGCGATTATCAAAGGGAATAGTTTTTGTAAATTTTTGTTCTATGAGTTACGTGAGCCAGGTAGTCATCTGGTGGATTCTAGGTGAATTACTTAGGATATCCTGCTTGGACAGTCAACTTACTGTATTAGATTTGGTGGATCCCGGACGTTGCAGTAGTTTCGGCGGGTAACTTGACCCAAGCGTAACTAAACTCGCGTCGTCCGGCTGGGTCTCATAGCTCAAGTGGTTAGAGCGTTGGCTGTACTAAAGCCTTCCCCTTACTGCATGGGTTCGAATCCCACCGAGACGCCGAGTTTTTTACAGTTGGGTCCACATGAATTATTCAAAATCTGCCAAAACATCTATGTATTACGTGAGCCTGGCCCTCGCAGTCTGGTGTGCGCTTGCAGTTCTTTGGCATCTGGTTCCCTGGCGGTAGACGCGCCTGCCCTCCCTATGAGTATACAGATCGTGAGCGTGTCTGCCCAGTCATCCTCAGCTATGCGACCCGTTGTTGTGCTGCTCTTGGTAAAAATGCTAGTCAGTTGTTTGTTTGTGATCAGGTAGTGTGATGGTATGTCTAGGTGAGGGTCCGGCCGCGCCAGCCACCTGTGCCTCCTTCCGGCTCCGCTTCCTTTTGGTTACGTCTTCACATCGGGCCCAGGTGGAGAGCAGGAGAGAATGCGCTTGATGCAGCGCAAGTCTACACTCACTATAAACTAATTCACGAGCAAGTGACCGTACTTGCTCTCACTTTGCCATGGAGCACACGGTAGACATTTTCGGGTACGACAGCCGAACTGTCACTCATCCGTACTGTTGACGCGTCCAAAGATGGCGTACCTGAGGATTATGAAGTCCAGACTACACTGAATATCCGCGTCAGCGTTTATGTTCAGTACAATTCTGTCGGGTAATATGTCGCAATTACTATCCACCAAAATTTTTGTTCGCCCTGCATATATCAGCTACCACGATCGATGATTATTGTTTATACATACAAGCCATTCTAGTAAGTCTTTATTCACGTTGCGATAAACAGATGGCTAGATAGAGTGGGAGAAAGTGCACAACCCGGTTTCCTTCAGTTTGCTCCTGCAAATACGTCAAAAGAAATTGTATGTCTACAGTGAGAGTTATATGTCGTTATGGAACTCTACGATTATGCGCGAAAAGATATTCAAACATCAGCTGCTGGCAATGCCAAAAGCATTAATTTACTCACTCAGGATAGCGCAGAGACCACCGGGACTTGCTGGTGACAAAGGCGATTCCGGGTGCCGACGGGTAGACCGACCATCACCTCGTCATCACGAAGATACGTATTCGCCCTTAGCCTCGCAAGAGACCACAAGGTAAGCGACCCCCAGGTAAACTAAATATTGTCGAGTTGTCTTTGCCCGCTCATTATCTCCATTTCAGCAATGAATTAGCCCAAAGTCTAGCCAACCATCCAGTTGCCGCCGCCGCCCTCGTCGACGAGAACGCCTCCGTGGAGAACCGATGATGTCAACTGCGGGACACGGTTCAGTCGACGACCCTGGCAGTCCTCGGTCGCGCACACTGCAAACATCACGACTTGTTCAACGACAACGATACCGCCATCAGCAACTTACTCGCCGAGGCGAACCGTCTGCACAAAGCCTACGCAAATTGTCCTACTGATGACAACAAAGCAGCCTTCTACCACAATTGCCACCTTGTGCAACAGCGGCTGCAGGGGATGCATGACAATTGGGCAGCTCACAAGGCGGAGGGGATCAAAGGGTACGCGGACCGCAACGAATAGAAAAGCTTCTTCGCTTCGAGCAAGGCTGTTTCCAGTCCCCCCAGCCAAAAGATACCACCCCTTTTCTCAGTGCCGACAAAATCCCCCTACGCACTGGGAAGATGCTAATTCTGCGGCGATAGGCCAAACACTTCAGAAGAGTCCTCAACCGCCCCTCCATCATCTCCGACGCCGCCATCGCCCGTCTGCCTCAGGTGGAGACTAACGTCGACCTCGACCTCCCGCCCTCTCTACACGAAGCAATCAAGGCTGTGCAACAGCTCTCTAACGGGATAGCACCCGGAGCGGACGCGATCCCTGCTGAGGTCTACAAGCACGGCGGCTCCCAACTCATGAATCACCTGACTGCGCTCTTCCAGGAGATGTGACGTCAAGGAAAAATCCCGCATGCTTTCAAGGACGCCACAGTCGTCCATCTCTATAAGCGGAAAGGTAACCGCCAGCTCTGCGACAATCACCGAGGCATCTCCTTGATGACCATTGTCAGGAAAAACTTTTCTCGCATTCTTCTCAACCGTCTAAATCACCGTCAGGAACACGTTCTCCTACCGGAAAGCCAGTGCAGCTTCCGCCGTCACCGCGGAACCACCGACATGATCTTCTCCGTCCGCCACCTGCGGGAATAGTGTCAGGAAACGCGGATCCACCTCTAGTCTATCTTCGTGGAGCTGACGAAAGCCTTCTACACGGTGAATCGTGATGGACTGTGGAAAATCCTGCAGAAATTCGGCTGTCCCGAACGATTCACTCAGACAGTGCATCAGCTCCAAGGTGGCATGGCGGCACACATCACGGACAACGGCGATGTCTCAGAGGCATTCGCAGTGACCAAAGGAGTGAAGCAGGACTGCGTCCCGGCCCCCATCCTCTTCGGTCTTATGTTATCTGCCATGCTGATGGACGCCTACCGTGGCGAACGCCCAGGGATTCGCATCACCTACAGGACAGACGGCCGCCTCTTCAATCAACGGCGGATACTCTTCCAATCGCGTTTATCCAGAATTACCGCCCACGAACTTCTGTTTGCCGACGACTGCGCCCTCAAAACCACCTCGGAAGAGGACATGCAAAGGACCATGGACCTCTTCTCCGCCGCCTGCGAGGACTTCGGTCTGATCATTAACACGGAGAAGACGGTGGTTGCGCACCAACCGTCACCCAGCACAGCCCATTCCCACAATGCGCCGCAAATCACCAACTGCAAGTGGTGGACATCTTTCCGTATCTGGGCAGCACCCTCTCGCGCAGCACGAAAATCGACGATGAAGTAGCCGGCTGGATTTCGAAGGCCAGCCAAGCTTTCGGCCGTCTGCAAAAACAGTGTATTTGAGGACCCAAGTTGTGCGTGTGGTGCGTGCAGACAAGGTCACAAGGCCATGTCTGCCTCCGAGCCCATTCTCTGCTCCAGTCAACCGACGGGCTCGGACAGTTACTGAGGCAGGGGTATAGGAAGGGAGAGTGAGGTCGACGACTCAGTGCATTTTCCTCCTCACTATAAACGGTCTGACGCGCTTGAAGCTATCGCGGTTCGCTAAAAGTCGTGGTCTGGAAGGTTGCCAACTGACGGGATAATTTGGACCTCGCAGTCGGCCCAGTGTTGTGTGTTTGTGTGGAGCGGCCGACTGGGGGTCTGAGAGTCAGGCTGCAATAGTTACTTCTTAATGTAGCCTTTTTGGCATCTCCAGTCTGTGGGATCCGAGCTAGGTGTGATGACACTCCTAGATGCGGCTCTGGCCCTGTCAGACCCCATTTTTGTCGTTGGTTAAAGTCCTGGTCATTTTCGGTGTGGACCAGGGGATGCTGAGTGGGGCGCCAAGGTACGGGCACAACCGTGCCATCCGCGGCGCCCTTCGCCGTCTCCGATCTTCTTCAATCTTTCTTGACACCGGGTCCAGGTGTGGGATAATGAGAGAGTTGGTAGATGCAGAGCGATTCTATGATCGGTGGTAGGGGGCGCTCAACGATCATTCTAACGGAACTCACTCGTTCCGTTGTGCCTTACGGGCTCTCTCTCGAGCCCAGCCAGCAACCGCACGGCGATGCATGATATAGGCAGAGTGGCTTTACCGACGATGACAAGACAAGCTAATGTGTGGTACGCATAACGGTCTGTTTGGCATCGTCGGCCACTACGCTCGCGTCAAGTGTGACTGTCAGCCTGTCATGAATGAGGCCGGTTGCGTACCGTGAGGTCACCGTCTGCGAGTGCTACACGCTTGCTCGGTCTTCCCAGAAGACCTCATTATAGAGGACTCACTAATGCCTGACTTTCCTTACAACGGGCCCAGCTGTACAGTCAGTTGACAACCTTTTAAACCAGGGATTAACACGTCCTAATAGTTTATGCGCGTCAAATTTCTAATAGTCATAAATGTGCTGGTTAGCCACATTCTTTTCCCCCTTCCATGTACCATTGGTCTGTCTGAGCCCGTTGTCTGACTAGTTAAAGGGCGCGATGACGTATGGGCAAGAGGTTCCTTCCAGCTCATGCCATACGCGTGTATATTTGGTGTTATAGGATGTTATGGGATGATGCTGACCTACTGCAGTCCGTCTAATGCACTTCAGGTGGCAATTTGGTTGTCCTTTTGGTTTTACCTTGTACAGAATAGTTCCTGGATGAACGAGAAAGATTGTTCGCCCTCCTTTTTGGCCGACAGTTTATGTCACCACAGGAGTTTTTTTGCTTGAATGGTGGGTGTTATCTGAGTTAATATGTGACCGGGTAGGTCAGCGCAGTGCCTGAAGGTTCGCGAGTATGGGAGTCTGGAGGGGGTGGATTGAGAACCGTTGGAAGGGATTCGTGGTGGCTCTTTTCCACTTTTCTCACGGTGGACATGTTGAGATCCTATGTGGCCAATGTGCGACTGGAAATTGCAGCCACTGTCAGAGTGGCTGACGGTTGATTTTGTCCCCCTGGCAACGTCCGAATTGTAAGGATTGTGTGGTGGTGTCCAGCAAAAGCGGTTTCCTCGGTGGTATTAGTGTTCTGGCTAATTGCGAATAGGTAAGCAGTGAGTCCACTGTAATGGATGTGCAGGTGTATGACGTGCGCTGTCTTTTTTGAACTTCCTCGCCTGGTATTTTCAGAACAGCGGAGTGGCGACTGTCATTGAAGATGATTTGGGATGCCAGCTGAGGGACGCTAACTCCTTTCTGCGTATTGCTGGTCAATCGAAGTTTGGCGGATTCGAAGTCGAAGTCAAGGCTCCGCTGAGTATCCACGTACATTGGGCGTTTCAGTAAGCAGTTGTTGGCTATTCGAGGGTCGATCTTATTGGTCTTGGATATTTTTGGGATGGTGTGCATTCGGCGGATGTAGACTAATTTCCTCTTAGCAAAGCAGTTGATGTCAGTTCCTTTGTTCCCCACGACATGCAACCATCAGCATTGTGCAGTGAATGAGACTGAAGAGAGCTCAGTTCATTTGTCAGGACGAATAGTTCCTTGGTTAGTCCATTGTCTCCAAAGCTGCCTGACTGTCAGAGTTAACCCTTCAGACCATCCATATTTCATCGCGGTTTTTCAGAATTGGTTTTGGTGCCAAAGACCTTGGGGAAATCTTCGGAGGTGTTTTAGAATTTAATCCCATTTTCTGGCACTTTCCTGTAGGGATGGTCCTGTCCCATATCCTGTCGGTTGCTCCACTATGTCTGCTGAATCCACACTGACTTTCTGAGAAAGGTTCGTCCCCCGGGCGCACTATCAGAAGATTGGCAAGAACGAGGACGAATGTTTTGCCGGCAGTGCTAGGAAGGGAAATCCTACGATTGTTTTCGCAGATTTATCAGTTTTTTCATTTGTAGACGTTCGCAATGATGCGTCCGTGGAACCTTGCAGGATTTGCCCTGTCTCTACATTTCTCGACGCGAAGAGACCAGTCCGCCCAAAAGTGAAGGACTAGTGTGATATGGTAAGAACAGATCCCGCACACTAAGATTTCGGAATCAACCTACTTGTTCATCGTCTCTAAACACCGAATTAGATGCAACTGCGATGGAGAGACTGTGTCGTTAGAGTGTCTTATGAACTCCTGTAGAAATGACTTCCATATGGTCACTTAGCTGCAGGCACCCGCAGACAAAATGGGTGAAGCTGTATAAAGGCACCTTACAGTCCTTACCTCTATAAGTCGAAATCAATCCAGAACCGATGGAAGTTCATGCACAGGATCAACTGACTTGAACGCCTGCTAAGCCAAAAGGGATTGCAATCCTCCAAACAGAGAAATCTCTGCTGACAAACACAAAACTGCTGGAGTGGCTATTTCCGGCCCATTTTCAATCGTCTGTTAGTGGTGCCCCGAGACAGAGTCAGGAGATTATCGAGCAGTGCTGTCACCACTGCATTCATGGACTCGAGTCATGCCATCTGAGATCAGGAATATTCAAACGCACGAAAGTGGTGTGCATCGATCTATCCTGCTCACAGGACAGACACAGATATTTCCGTTTTAACTTGGAACGGACTGTGTGTAACCTTTAATAGCTGATAGAAGTTAGAAAGGACAAAGGCGGATGAAAAGAACCCGTGAAAATAACTATGCTAAAAACTGAACCCTTTCCGTTCGTCTTCATTGCAAGCGTTCTTCCAGGATCCGAGCCGGCTTTATGAGGCACGTCAAAATCCACAACAAAGTCAGTAGGACCAGCTCACCTGTCGTTCTTCGGGAGTATGCCATGGTTGAAAAAGCCCTCTTCATTTGTCTGCACT